TTTTTTTTAATTGTATTATAAATAAAATTTGAAAGAAAAAAAAGAAAGAAAGAAAGAATCTTTTCCTGGTCTTCATCCATCTCTTTCACTTATTTGTAAATAGTCTTTCTAGTGAAAGTTATTTGTTAAGCAACAGTCAATAAAGGTTTACATGCACAGTTCAAGTAGGCCAATTTTGCTGCCCAGATATTCTCTTACAGCTAAGTCTCTCACAGATGGTACCAAAGTCAGGAAGGTCTTATCTAAGGTCTGGGCTTTGAGACAAGTCTCTTTTTAGGAAACAACAAATTGCAATACCAAGCTTCACCACAAGATGTCACCAATGCCATTTAAAGTTTTTTAAGTTCCAAATTTTTCTAATTCTTTTTCCAATTTTATTTATTTTTTGTAGATAAAAACAAAAGTCTCCAATAGAAATAGGAAAATTTTTGGTCACCAGGTTTCAGGAACATATAAATCCAATTAGATTAAAGTTGTTCTTTTTAATGCTTGGATTCCCCTGGATAGTCAGACGCCGCTATTCTTAGAGCAGGGGGCAGCATCAGCATTGTGGTTGCCCTCGGGGGCCAGGTGGGTGTAGCTAGGGTGGGTGCAGCCTACTGGGTGGATGTGGATGGAATGGGTGTGGCCTAATGGGTGGGCGTGGCCAGCTCTACATCATTTGCATCAAGGGTGCCTGTGGTAACCTGGGCAGGAGTGGGACAGATCTGAGGATCTCTGGCAGAAGAGGGTGGGACCAGGGCAAGTGTCAAGGCATGGTCCACTGCAGGAGCCTCACTGTTCCTCTCAGGCCATGTGGGGGGGCTGGACGGTGGTGCGGGCTACTGGGAGCCCTGGACAGCAGAGGTCAAATGCCCAGCCTGTCCCTCCAGCATCCACGGCACCAAGCCCAGCCCCACATCCCCAAGGGGACGCCAAGCTGCACTTACCTCCTCCTCAAGGCTGCTGCTGCTGTGCTTGCTCTCCGTAGCCAAGTGGCTCATGATGGGTACAAGGGCAAAGTCAGAGGGAGGCCCATTCCCTCTCCATGGGAGGAGATCCGGCTTTGTATCCAAAGCTTCCTTAGCAATAGGATGGGAGACCCCCAGGATAGGCCAGGAGGAGGGGGCAAGGGGATGGTGAAAGGGCAGCAGGCAGGACTAAGGCAGGACTTCCCTCAGACCCTCCCTCTTCTTCTTTCCTTCTTTCCTTTCTTCCTTCCTAAGTACAGAGTGATGGGAAAATATTTCAGATGAGGGAGGGAGAAAAACAGGCAAGAAATGCAGCTGGGGAGGTGTCACCCTTCGTGAGGAATGAAGAAATGCACCATCGCTTGGAAGTGGCCAGCACATGGCCCTCACCTACTTCACATATCTGGCTTGGAGGGCTCTGGGGAAGGGGATGCCATGAGCAGCATGAGAGTCAACATCATCTGCGCAATGCTGCCCAGCCCCCAGCCTGCCTGGTTTCGGCAGGCAGCGCGGTGCTTTCTTCATAGCGCCAAGAGGTTGAACCGGGTGATGCAAATCCAAAAAGAAGTGTGAAGCTGCCCAGCCCCCAGCCTGCCTGGTTTCGGCAGGCAGTGGGATGCTCTCCTCTCAGCACTGAGAGGTTGAGCCAGGCAGTGCGAAGCTCGCCCGCTTTGCACCTTGCTGCTTGCTGCTTGCTGAAACTGGGCAGGCTGGGGGCTAGGCAGCATTGCACTTCTCATCAGATTCGCGCCACCTGGCTCAGCTCTTGGCACTGTGAGAGAGCGCCCCACTGCCTGCTGAATCCAGGCAGGCTGGGAGCTGGGCGGCCTCACATTTCTTTTTGGATTTGCGCCGCCTGGCTCAGCCTCTCGGCACTGTGGGGAAAGCACCCCACTGCCTGCCGAAACCCCTTCCCCAGAGCCCATCAAGCCGGATATGTGAAGTAGGCGAGGACCATTTGCTGGCCACTTCCAGGCGATGGTGCATTTCTTCATTCCTCACAAAGGGTACACCTCCCCAGCATGCACCCAGGGAGTGGGGCCGACGCAGCAGGGGTTGGTTCCTCACTGTTTCCAGACGGCCTTGTGGAGCTAAGACTGAATGTGTTTCAGCATACATGGCCACCACAAAATTGTACATTGGCTCCCGGCCGGCTGGCCAGAGCCAAGGCAGCAGGGGCCATTCCCTCACTGTTTCCAGGATGGCTTCATGGGCCACATGAAACCACTTCGCAGACCACATCCGGCCCCCGGGCCTTGTGCTTGACATGTCTGTCTTAGAGGGTGGGATAGAAATTCCCTTCCCTCTCTCCTAGGAACACTTCTTTCCCACCCTTCAAGATGGCAGCTCCTGACTACGCAAGGAAAACAAAGCCCTGAAAAATACAATTAAGCAGATGGATTTATTTTACCTTGATATCTGGGGATCCAAAACTTCTATTTTCACGGGGACCTGTCACTTTATCTAAAAAAAAGAACTCTATCTGGATAAAAACCTAGCCTGGTCTTGAAAAAGATTCTAAATGCTGTCAGGGACATCTTGTGGCAAAGCTTGGTATAGCAAGTAAATACTTTTCTTAAAGAGACCTACTTACAGCCCAGATCTGTCCTTGGCATTATCTAAAAGAGATAAAAAGCTGGGAGAACACCTGGACAATTAAATTACTTTATAGGTATTGTGGAGGTGAACATTTACTGACTTTTATCTAAGAAATAGCCTTCACTAAAGGACTATCCATAACTGTGTTAGAAATGGAGGAAGACCAGCCACAACTTAACTATAAACTTATACTTGAAAATATTCTTGAAGCTACTGAAATAATTAAATCCAGATCAAAAGATAAAGGTGCTAGCTTAAACCTATAAAATGAAACTCTGAATTCAACGAAAGAACCTACAATTCAAAAACCAACAGAGGTGGAAGAAACTAATACCAAGACCGAGGAACGTAAAGATCAACCAATACAATTTACTGAAAACCTTGACAAACAAACCCTGACTGCGACTAAAGAACTTACAATCCAAAAAGCAACAGAAGTGGAATAAAGCAACACCAATGTGGAGGCTGTTAAAGACCAACAAATACAGCATACTGGAAACCTAGATAACCAAATAACAACTTTAAAGCCGACGTGACTCTCTATCTAAACCAGAGGAAACCTGAGGAACAAGATGACCAAATTGTACTGAAGGAGCCACCAGGACAACAGCCTAACAACTATGAATGGACCAGCCTTTCTGGAAAATAGATAACTAGATGGTCTCCCTTGGTTCAAGCAATATGTGCAAGAATGAAGGGAGATCTACCTGATGATTTAAAGGTATTGGTATGAAAACCTGGCTGGCACAAAAAGAAAGCCAGAGTTAGATTTTTAAAAAGTGGAATTTTTGATCTATGACAGAGGATCCTAAAGTCTCAACTAATGGGCTAAAGGGAGATTTTTAGATCAGTGGTTCTCAACCTTTTTAATGCCGCGACCCCAACCAGTCGTACGTCGAGGACTAAACCGGTCGTAAGTCGAGGACTAAACCGGTCGTAAGTCGAGGACTACCCAACCGGTCGTAAGTCGAGGACTTTCCCTGCCCGGGAGCGCCGCGCATGCGTGGTTCTGCCCCCTGCGCCGGCCGAGGCATAGCTGGCAAGTGGCAGAGATGGAGCAGGCCGACCACCAGCTGGCCCAGCCCAAGGGAAGTAAGGCACCCACCGGAAAAGGGGAAAAAAATGGTGGACAAAAAAAATGGCGGACAAAAAAATGGCAGACAGCCTTGCTTGGCGACCCCCGTGAAATGGTCGATCGACCCCAAATGGGGTCCCGACCCACAGGTTGAGAACCACTGTTTTAGATGAAGGGAAAGATGATTATTTCATTTAAATATTCTTGTTAAGTGATAAAAAATAAGGGATTAACTGGCTTAATATTTAGGATTTAGACTTATAAGGGAAATGAAAATTAATGATTAGGAATTAGCTTCAAACTATTGTTTAGCCCAAATAATATAGATGACGGACTTGAGACAATAAAGAACACTCTACCAGCAAGTGATGATGTATTAGGATGAGAAATAGAAAATATTTACGAAATAAGATAATAATATATTTAAGTAAGTAATATGTATATTCTAAATATGATAACTTTTATGTAGTGAAATAAAGGAAATTTGGATTACCCGAAATTTAAACACTATGGATATTAAAGATTAAATTGAAATATTGTTATAAAAAATTAAAAATTAGGTAAAACTTAAAAACAGGATATGGATATTAGCAAAAAATATATTGATAAAGGTTTTAATTAACTTTGATATAATTAAAAATCTATTAGCCTAAATGTGATATAACAAATGTTAAGGGAAATAGAGAAGGAATTTCTGATGATGTAACCTGAAATATGTACTAAAGATTTTGTTATTGAGCCACTGATTACCCAGTCACCATGCTGCTTTCCGAATACTCAATATAAAATTTGAAAACCAATAAAATTTGTTTAAAAAAAAAGAAATTCCCCTCACTTTCTCCTCAGAGGGGGAAGATACTTCAAACAGTCTTTACAGGAAAAGAGGGTACTTAGAGTAAAGAGAAGATCAGGTCTCACCCAGTTTCATCCGCGTTGCTTTCAAAGTGCTTGATAGTAGATTTGACTTCGGCTGTCTGCAGCCTAATGGCGAGCCATATTGCTATGGCCGGTCTTTTCTCTGCCACTTTGGAGAGCTGCCTCAGATCGAGCAGAAGGGCTGCTGCCCTCCCGCGATCAAGCAGGGGATCCCTCCTTGCTCATTGCCCCTACAAGGTGACTTTTGACCCTTTCCAGAGTCCCCCAGTGAAGGAAAATCAGACGTGGAAGACGGAGTTGCCTTCCAAGCGTCCGCAGGAGCCACTTTGGCAAACCGGAAGTCCCGCGGGCTGGCAGTTTGACACCCCTGCTCTAGGCTATGCATATCATAAAAATCATGCAACGATACAAGCAGAAGTCAATAGAGAGTCTTTCCAGCCAACAGCATATTCTACCCTTCTAGCTCTCCCAGCAACCACTCCACCTTTGATGCTGCTCACCTGTGGTACCAGAGGTGAAAATATATAGGCATGTAGATTTAGGGGTTACATGGGCTCTGAGGGAAAAGGGCACTGATTCAGCAGAGCTTAATTTGATCCGTTTGAGCAGTGCCTCTACACCTTCAGTTGGGGAATCATCACTCAGATAGAAAACACGTATCCCTTCATCATTTAAAGTAGGCAGGACATCTTCAATGGCATCTTTTAAATCTTGAAAAAGGAAAGAAAAAATATTTGAGTGAATTTACTGCCTTAATTTTGGAAATCTTTTTTTTTTTTAGCCTCTTTCATAAGTACTAAAATGGAGGAAAAGCATGGCAGAGTTTTTGCAAAGACAATGTAAAGAGTAGAACTCTAACCTTGTTTTCTTAGAAACACTAAGCACTCCTAGGCAAAAATGTATAATATAGTCCATTTTTCCTGATTATTTTATTATATGAAACAGGATGAAAAATGTATACACGAATCTGTCTGCTAGCACTAACAAACAAGCCAGAAAGCAAGAAAAAGGAGGGAGAAAAGAAGCCAGTCTGGAATATTATTTTATTTAAAAAAATAAAAAAGAATGATTGAATTGCTTTCATGTCTTTTGCATGCTTCTTTGTTGAAAAATATTTAATTCAGGTGTTAACAAATAATATAGGGTATATCAGTATTCTGTTGCTGCAGGTCCTGAATACATTTATCTTTCTAATGTTGTGTAATAATTCTTTAGCCATTTTTATGGTTACATTCAAAATATAATTATAACCAAACTGAACATATACATCATTGACTTATAGCAATCTAGTGTTAATCACTTTTGAATATCAATTCAAAAGCTGACAATAAATAGTATGGTTACCTTACAGTACTTATATGTATGAAAAGAATATTGCTTTTGGAGCTATGTTTCAGTAAGAACAGTGTATTTGCATATGTTATGGATACATAGAAATATCAATTTTGGAGGGAGTGTAAAACTTGCTATATAATTTTAAGACCACTGAGATCATGTTGAAGATATAATACAAAGAAAAAGGCAAGAATTGGAATAAAAATGTTCTAGTCCAACTAACACAAAAATAGCTCTAAATCACTGTCAACAAAAATAACCCCACCATCATTAACAATGGGATTGAATACGTTTTGCAAACTATTTCATGGGTCCAAACAGTAATGGGATTATACATGATAAAATAGAATCCATACACTTTAGAATCAGAGTAAAGATCCAAGGAACAGAACAGTAGTGATATCGTCTAATGATATCTTCTGAATACCTTTAAATTTTTCTATAAAACATTATCCCCAAACCCCACCTCAGGCGGTTTTTCAGAAAAATGGTGCTGAATATTATTACTAAGAATCCCAAGAAGATCACTAAATTATACTTCTTTCAAATCATAAAAGAAAAAATGAGAACAAAGATAGGATGAAACCACTGTAGGAATATGAGCATTTCATGCAGAAATATCCCAAGTCATGTCTAATGTGAGAATCTCCAAGTATCCTGCAAAATTATCATAGTAAGTCATTCAGAAAATGACCAGTTCTCTTCTAAGACCAGAATGTGATCAATATTTCATTTCTCAACCCAGCTTTCCGGAAGACATTGTGGAAATGCAGTGGAGGTAGAAATTGACTCCTTCGCTGAATAGGGCCCAATTGCTAATGAACTTTAACTTATCAGATTGCCTCCAACCACAACCACAGCCACAACCTTCCTTGCTTCATTATTCACAGCTCCAAAGTATACCTTTATTAAGTATAAACTCATTAGGTATATGATTCTATGAATTATATTTATACATAATAAGATTAATAAATGCATTAAAACAGCGGTTCTCAACCTGTGGGTCGCGACCCCATTTGGGGTCGAATGACCATTTCACGGGGGTCGCCAAACAACGCAATCTGCCATTTTTTTCCGCCATTTTTTCCCCCTTTTCCTTAGCTGTGCTACTACCTCTTATTCTATTGGCTTTTGAAAGCCAATAGAATAGACTCTATTCAAGAGACTCTATTCTATTGGCGTTCGAAAGCCAATAGAATTGGCTTTTGAAAGCCAATAGAATAGACTCTCTTTAAAAGAGTCTAATTCTATTGGCTTTCAAAAGCCAATAGGAATTGTCCAGGCTGTCTCTGCCCTGCTGAGCCCGCCAAAAGTTCCAGTCTGCAAACGGTGCTGCAAGTTGTCTGCAGCTAAGGCGAGCTTTCTGGACATTTCCACCCCTCCCTGCTGAGCAACTCCCAAAAGTAAGTAAAAGAGGGCCACGGGTGGGAGGTGGGAGGCCGGCGGGCGCAGGGAGAGTTGCTGGCGTGCGTGGGGCCCAGCGGGTGCTTAACTCCCTTGGGCTGGGCCAGCTGGTGGCCCAGCCGATGGTCACCCTGCGCCCTCGCTGCTGCGTGCTATGGCCACCCAGGAGCATCTTGTCCTGCCGGCCTGCCGCCGCACCGAACGTGCGGTGGCCAAGGTAAGGCTAGCGGAGCAGCGGCGGGCACAGGGAGGGTTGCTGGCGCGCGTGGGGCCCGGCGGGTGCTTACCTCCCTTGGGCTGGGCCAGCCGGTGGCCTAGCTGGTGGTCGGCCTGCATCCTTGCTGCCGCTTGCCATGGCCGCCCAGGAGCGCCTGGGCTTGCCTGCCTCCGCACCAAACGGGCGTCTTGCTCTGCGATTGCCGGCTCCGCACAAAAGTTTCTTTTTCTTTCCTTTTCTTTTCTAAATTCTACCCCCCTTTCTCCCCCTCTCCTGTCCCCTCTCCCATTCTTTTCTCTCCTCTCCTTCCCGGCGGCGAGATTCGGCCGGCTGAGGGGGTCGCTCTAGCTCGAGCAGGAGAGCCATCTCTATGCTCCTGGGTCACGTGTGGTCGTGCGTGTGGGTCACGTGTGGTCACATGGGTGCGTACGTGTGGGTCACGTGTGGTCACATGGGTGCATGCGTGTGGTCACGTGGGTGCATGGGGTCGCGGCATTAGGAAGGTTGAGAACCGCTGCATTAAAACAATGTAAAAGGGTTACATCTCTCTCTCTCTCTCTCTCTCTCTCTCTCTCTCTCTCTCTCTCTCTCTCATCAGCAATGCTCATTTCAAAATCTATAGGGAGCCTGCAAGCAATATGAATCTGAATACTGTGGTATAATTACATAGCTGTGGATTATCCAGATTTATCAAAAAGGCCCAAAACTAGGATATTCATTAAATAGCAATGCAAATTACTTCCTTACTTCAAAGTGCAGTAAAGACCTTAGATTTCTACCTCAAAATAATGCCCCAAAGATGCTTCTGTCTGAATACTAGTGTCCAAAAGACACTAGAATGGACTGATCCACTCACTTATTTATTTAAATTTATATAGCTGCCTGTCTCATTTATGAGACTTACAAGTTAAAACAGCAGACATACAGAAACTGATTATAAATGTTAAAGTGCAAGAAAGCGCCAGCTTAGAGCTCATAAAACATGGGCTCCACACAACTAATGGTATAGACATGTCTTCAGGGACTTCCTAAAGATCAACAAAGTTAGGACCAGTCTAACCTTAGTGGGGAATAATGTTCCAGAGTCTGGGTGCCATCAGATGGAAATCCTGTTTATACAGGACCCATCATAAGCTCCTTCTTCCAGATCTGATGGGACAGGTGGATAATCTTAGCTTCTAGAAAATTCCTATTTTATACTACAGAAACAAAATGCTACTCTATATGGCCCATTGCAGTTCTTATGGTCTTACCCTCCTGATCTCAGAAGACAATTGATGTCATAGTGCTGGACAAGACAAAACAAATAAAGGAGAAAGAGATTCATTCATTCAAACACATTTACAGTTAGTTGAATTATTGGGAGATTTTTAATAGAGAAATGTAAATGTGGACTTTTATTAAACCAAGAGGTTTACTACTACATAAATTCACAATCTTAACTCATCCAATGCTGACAGAATAATGTTATAAAAGAAATCATTTTGCATATGTCGAACTTATTTTACTAATGCAAAATCAGAAATTGTGGTAACACTTTGCCCATCCCCCTGGGTTAAAAAAATATCTTTGGATGCAATTCAAAAAGAAAAGAAATGACCAATAGTCACAACATATTACTATTTTCTATGGAAGTATTTCCTACATGATTCTCTCACCTGGAGTTGTTAGAAGAATTTTAGCCTTGCAAGACTTCAGCACATGTATCAGAGATTTGAGTCGTAAATTATAGTTGACACATGCCATGGGACAGCCAATCTTTGATAAGCCAATCAAAACTGAGAGATAGGCAGGAATGTTTTTGAAGAAAATAGCCATGGTCTCCTCTTCTTTCAGCCCCACATAGTCCTTCAGTACTCTGGCTATCTGGTTGCTGTGTCTATCAATGTCTCGGTAGGAATAAACCTCATCTTCAAAGATAATCAAGGATTTGTCTGAATACTTCTTAACTCTGGCCAAAAATATTTCTAATACAGTGAAAGGGGCAGTGCGCTGCATGTAACTGTGGCATTGATATCCCATGTGTATGCAGGCAATAATGTTTTTCAGATCTAACCAAAAATAGGGGAAGAAATATTTGCCCAGCAGGGGCAGAAGAATCAAAAGCCCAAACACAGCTGTGTATAGATCCAGCATGGCAGGAATTTAGTCTTGGTATCTTGGAATCAGAATCCAATGTGTTGCAGGCTCTATCCAAGCCCTGTTTTGTGCAAGGCAAAAAGAAGAGAAGTCACGAATAATCAAAAGATGTACCGTATATACTCGAGTATAAGCCGAGTTTTTCAGCCCATTTTTTGAGCTGAAAAATGCCCCCCTAGGCTTATACTCGAGTCAGCTCACGAAAGAAAAAACTGGGAGCCGCATAATTTGTGCGCACATACGCGCGCGCGCGCGCATGTGCACATGCGTGCGTGCGCACAGAACAGGAGGCTTGATTTAAAGAGTGGAGCCTAAGGCAAAACTTGCACCGGCTCTGCCCCCCATCCAGCTCCGTCCTGGCTTCTCCTCCCCTTGGAAAAGACTGCTCTCCCCCCACCCCACGCTCTCCCTCTCTGGGACTTTCTTCTTTCCGCCTTTTGGCGCGAAGGTTCCCAGGGAGCGGAGGAGGAGGCCGATGGGGAGAAGGAGCTGCAGACTCACCTATCTCAGCCTGCTGTTGGAGGCTGGAGTTGAGGCTTCTGGCTCGCTCTGGGAGAGGTGCTCGGAAAAGAGAGGATGAGAAGCGGAAAGTGGGAGAAAGGATGTCTTCCACCTCTCTGGGGTTCTTTTGCTGGGAGGGCGAGGAAGCAGCAGTTCTGCTCCGCAGGAGGTGGGAGCAGGCAGCCTCACCTTCAAGCTCATCTCCAGCGGCGGCGGAGCCATCTGGTGCTGTTTACATGGCCGTTCGTCCGTGTGACTGAGATAGGCAGCGGCACCAACTCTGGTCTGGGGAAAAGAGAGTGGAGCAGGGCGGCGCTGCCTATCTCAGTCACGCGGACGAACGGCTGTGTAAACAGCACCAAATGGCACCGGGGACATGCGTGGCCGGCTCGGCTGCCCAGGGACGGCCCAGGGAGCGATGCCCCTGCCGGCTGCCACCCCCGCTGGACTGGCTCAGGGAGACGCGTGGTCGGCTCGGCTGCCCAGGGAGCGATGCTGGTGGCCGCCGCTCGGTTCCCCCCTCCCGCCTTTCCAGGCACACCCGGTGCCCCCCGAGCCAGAGGCCTCTCGGGGGAGCTGATAACACCAGTCGACAGCTGAGCAGGAACTCGCAAGTTAATTTCAGAGCGGCGGGCCGCGGGGGAAAGAGAGAGAGAGAGAGGCAAGCAGGCGGAGCGCAGCACCAGGGGAGGGGGAGCGAGCGGCGAAGAAGCCGCCGCCGCCGCAGCCAGGCAAGCAGGTGGAGCGCAGCACCAGGGGAGGGGGAGCGAGCGGCGAGCGCTTCCCTCCGATGCCCGGGCTGGAGCCGCCGTGGCCGCCGCTGCCGCTGTGCCGCTGCACTAGGAGCGCCAACTCTGCGCGCAGGCGGTGCTGGTGCCGCTCTCTGCGCAAGTTCCCGCGGCCCGGGGGAGGTGCGCGTTGCGTCGGGGAAGGTCTGGGCCCGGAAGGGGGGCAGGTTGACTCTTTCCCTCTCGCCTTTGCCGCCCTGATGCGGTCGCAAAAAGTTGCGAGGCGGTGGGCGCGGAAGCTCCCTTTCCCTTTTCTCTCTGCCCCTTTCCCGACTCGGGGGTTGTTCCAAGCAAGAGGGGAATCTCTGCTGGCCTCCCGCGGTTCCCTCGGAGTCTGAATGGGTCACCGGCCAAGCACTTGGCCGACACTTTTTTCCCCCCCTCCACATTCAAGTAGTCTACAGGTCGGGAGAATCTCGTTTCAAGGTAACTTCCCATGAACGTTTTGTGGCCATGTGTATTCTTGGAGGGCCGGTTGGTTGAGAAGTCGTCGTTCCCCCCCCTTTTTAAAAAACACTTAAATATGGCTTCATTTGAAGAGAAGAGGCCTCATGAACTATTTGGCTGTTTTTCTGTCTTCTCACTACACCGCCCCCGCCCCCCCCATGGCGGCGTATATGATCTTTAAACTCTCATTCCGGGACTCTGTCGGGACTGCTGCTTGCTCTAAAAAGCGCTAGCAACAAGCCACTCTACAATTAGGGTGATGTTGATGTTAAGACGAAAGTCAACTTTTTGTTGACGAGCTATACGAGACGACAAAATGTAAATGGTCATCGACGGAGTAAAGGGTGGGATCCGAATATGAGCTCAGTGGATTTTTTCCCAGTTCTTTGTGGAAAAATAGGTCCCTCGGCTTATAGTCGGGTCGACTTATATTCGAGTATATATGGTAATTCTCACACTCCACCCAGTCCCTCCAGGCTTAAATGAAGGAACCTTTGTCTCCCAGCCATTAAACTTTGAATCACATGGTATAGCTCTGTGATCCCAACATGCTGTTTGTTCCTTACCTTCCTCATCTGTTGCTCAACTTCCTCATCTATAACACAGGTGCTTGATATTCAGCAGAGACTGTACTTATATACAGTGCTGGTTAATTTTGTCCTTGCCCACAATTTATATCTCAAAGTCCTGTGGAAAAAAAGTTGTTGGCAAATTAACAATATGAAAGGCCACTGGCCTTTGCAGAACAAACATTTATGACACAATTTAATCAAGAAAAGAAAGAAAGATACAAATAGCTGCAATACAAATGAAGGAAAGGCACATTGCATGAACTAGTTTGGCAAAGGATTCTGCAATCATCAGCTCCTTTTTCATGCGCTATCTAGAGTGGATCACTTTATACTATGGCAATTCTCTGCAATCTGGTGGTCACTAACATTATGGGCTTCAACACGGCTTTGTCTCTGGCCGGTGGAGGACCCAGTATGGCCTGGAGGATCTTGGCTTCGGCCCCGTTCCAGCCGATGGAGGACCTGGTGTGGCCGGGACTGATCACCCAACGGTCCGATGGAATGGCCGGAGGAGGACACGGTCTGGCAGTACGATTTAATTTGCCTCCGGCAAATCACCGGCTGACGAGGGGTGTGATTTTAGTGGCCTGGAGGCTGGATGATCAACCTAGTTGGACTTTGGCCGGGTTTACCAACTGTCGAGGATTTGCCTCCCCCCCCTTTTTTCGATCTCCCACAGCCGGACTTGCGACTTAACTTATGTACCCTAGGACGGTCCTATTGGCCCTGCGCGACTCACTCCTCGTGCAGGCCTGGCCCAATAAGATCTCAAGGGCCCACCTCGAGGATGGGGTTTGGAACCCCGAGAGGTGGCATGCAGCGGGTTCAAACAGAAAACTATTTAAATTGTCCAAACTGAGATTTTTTTTAAAGGGGTGTTTTAACAAATTTTTAGGGGGAAAAAGGGTGGTTGGGAGGGGGGAGGTTCCCCTTAGGTCAGGACTAGCCATGTCTGGGGGTTGCGATGTAG